ATTTATTTATTTATTATTTTTAAAATACTGACCCGAGGATATTTTTCCATTGATTTTTAGAGAGAGTATAAGAGAGAGGGAAAGTCAGAGAGAAATATGGATGTGAGAGAAATACATCGGTTGCTTGCCTCCTGTACTTGCCCTGACCAGGGCCCAGTCCAGGAAGGAGCCTGCAATTGAGATATGTGCCCTTGACTAGAATCTAACCAGGAACTCTTAGGCAAGCCAATGCTCACTGAGCCAAACAAGCTAGGCTAAAATATTTATATAACAATCTTATGAAAGAGACAGCATTATTAGTCCTGTTTTACAGATAAGGAAATTATCTAGATGCCTAATATTAAATAACCTGTCCAAGTCAATAGCAAAGCCAACAACTGAATGCAAGCCCTCTGGCCTCAGAGCTTATTCTCTTACCTACTACATTATATGGTCTCTAACTGCTTACATGGTTCTAGACAAATAGGCATGCAAGAATCTCTAGGCACAGACAATAACACTGGAATGATCACTCCCAGATTCATTCTTCACACTTCTGCAAAGTAAATCTCATAGATTTCCATGCTGTCTTATTTCTCTGTTCAATGGAAAATACTTGCTGGAGATTGGTGAGCAAGAGGAAGATGAAGCCAGGATATTTACTCTACCTATTGCTTTAGAGAGGTATGTTCTGGAAGTGGCAACAGCATAGACAGATCTGGAGGGTATCGCTCTATGTGAAATAAGTCAGACTGAGAAGGACAATTGCCATGCTATTAGTTTAGCATCAGTGTCTTTGTTATGATAATATTACCTTTTCCCATTATCCATCTAGTTCTCAAAGTGGTAGGAATTTTCCATGGGTGTTAAATTCTGGCTTGTCTTGCCATCCCTTGTTTGGCTCCTTAGCTCTACCTGTATGTGTTACCTGTATTAAATGTTCTCTCTATTTTCCTGACTGGATTATAATTGATATAGGCAACTTGCATAACCCCAGAGCTATTCACTATCATATAAATTGGTTTATATGCTTCAGAGCATATGCCAGAACCTTTATCAGAGCACATTTCAAACCTTTATCTTATTTGTTTACTTATTTATTGTTTATCGCTCCTCCATTTCAAGTAGATTGTAAGATCCATGAGAAACTTTGTATTGTATCCTAAGACTCTATGACAATGTTTGGCACATAGGCAGTCAATAATATTGTTAAATGAATGCATCTATAAAAAAATTAAGATGACGACTGGCAGGAAGGTAGGGAGGGGGAGTGTGTGAGAGAGTGAGGAAGCGATAGAGGAGAGTGTGGACATGTGTGTGTGTGTGTGTGTGTGTGTGTGTGTGTGTGTGTGTGTGCAGGTCGTCCAAGGGGCTGCCAATCTGGGCAGTCTTGGCAAAACCCCGCTACTGCTGCATTCTGGGGAGGACACTGGCAATACAGATACCATGCCATCTGGAAGAACAGAACTGTTTGAGAATAGGATCCTAGCCTCACCACCACCCAGTCTGATCTTAGTAGAAAATCAGGACCCTACAGCAGCTCTGGTAGAAGACCTGAGACCACAGCTGCAGATGCAGGAACAACAAGACTCCAGGCACCCCAGCCATAGATTTCTGTGAGTCCAAAAGCCAATCCCCCTCCCTCACTGCCCCCAAGGCAGTGGTAGAGGAACTGTCAGACCCCAGCCGCACACACAATAGGGTTTTCTGAACACACACAGCAGTGGCAGCTCTACCTGACTTTGAGCCTTGGTGTTGGACACAGGAAGTTTGTTTCACGTGACCAGGCTCCACACCCAGGCAGGGACTGTGCTGAATTTAACCCTAGGTGCACATCCTTAGGGAGATTGTTTTCTGTGACCTGATCCCATGCCCACGCAGGGCAGAGAGACAGTGCTGAATTTGAGCCTGGAAGGGCGAACTCGGGGAATTTGTTCCCCGTGACTAGGTTCCACGCCCTGGGAGGGAGACTGGGCTGAATTTGAGCCTAGGTCTGTACCCTCGGGGAGATTGTTTTCTGTGACCAGATACCATGTCCACATAGGAAGGCAGTGCTAAATTTGAGTATGAGGGTGCAAACAGGGAGTTTGTTTCCCATAACCAGACCCTGTACCCTAGCAGAGAGGCTGCGCTGGATTTGAACCTGGATGTGCAAACTCATGGAGTTTATTCCCCACGACCAGACCCTGTGCCCACACAGGGAGGCAGTGCTGAATTTGAGCCTGGGTGCATGGATCCAGGGAGTTTGTTTTCCACAGTGCACACCCATGTGACCAGACCCCACACCCACACTAAGCAGCAGTGCCACCTGACTTTGATTCAGGGAAAGTGCACAAAGAAGGCTATTTTCCACCGGGCAGGAGTGGACCTCCTGCCAACACAGTGCAACAGTGCAACCCGGTCTCCCAGTGACTAGACTGTTTCTCATTGCATGCACCTGGGATCACTGATTCCCAGTATATTCACACTTAAGAGCCAGAGACTGCAATTCTTGGCACATGCACACACAGGGACCCTGATTCTCGGTGCAAGATGTCACCTAGCAACAGATACTCTGATACTCAATTGTCAGCATGCACACAGGGAGCCTCTGACTCCTGACACGCACTAGGGGACTTTGATTTTTGGCACATGCCAGCAGGTTCTCTGATTCAACATGGCACAGGCCACACTAAGTCCCTGATTCTGAGTGCACACAGGAGGCCACACTAAGTGCCTGTGACTCTAACCCAGAGTGAGCGTGGCTCCCACCAATCCACAGCACCCTTGGTATCAGAGCTCTTCAGTGACACTTGGGGGGTGCAAAACTCCCTCTGTACACGGCCCAGGCCCCTGCAACTTGACATTTGGTGATAGAATGGGGAGACAATGAAACAATCCCCAGAGAAAAGAACAGAAGGAATCACCAAGAAAGGAAATAAGTGAAACAGAAGCATACAACATGACAGAAAAAGAATTCAGAATAATGGTCATACATTTCATATACTGGATGGATGAGAAAACCAACAACCTATGCAAAAATCAGGAAGAAATGAAAGATTATATAGTTACAATAAAAAACACCAGGGAAGGCATCAGTAGTAGACTAGAAGAAGCAGAGGACCAAATTAATGAGTTAAAGATAAAGTACAGAAACAAGCCCAATCTGAACAGCAACTAGAGAAAAAAATTAAAAAGCAGGAGGACAGCCTAAGGGAGCTTTGGGACAATGCAAAATGAAATAGCATACGAGAAAGGAATCCTTGTGTACTGCTGGTGGTAATGCAGATTGGTGCAGTCACTGTTGAGAACAGTATGGAGTTTCCTCAAGAAACTAAAAATGGAACTCCCATTTGACCCAGCGATCCCACTTCTAGGAATATATCTCAAGAAACTAGAAACAGCAATTAGAAAGGCCATATACGCCCCTATGTTCACAGCAGCACAATTCACCTTAGCTAAGATTTTGCAACAGCCTAAGTGCCAATCAGCAGATGAGTGGATTGAAAAACTGTGGGCCAGTTATGCTTGACTAAAACAATGGCTTGAATGGAGTTGGGACAGTTTTTTAGGAAGTAGAGGATAACAAGGTTGTGTGTTTGCAATGCCAGTGATATCTTCATACAAATCACCTTCAGACACTTCTTTCTGATATCTTTTTATTTTTATTTTTATTTTTATTTTTAGTAATTACATGTGTGCTTGATCTTCCCTGTGGATTAGGAGCCTTGGGTTATTGTTGTATTGTTTGGCTTTTTTACTTTGAGCAGATGTGTCTTTCAATTTTTGAGCTTCAGTGTTTCTGACTGTAACATGGGACAAATTAACACTCCCTGTCATGTCTACCTCACAGGGTTATTGTAAGGATTGTATGGTATAATGGATGTGAATGTGACCAACAATGTCAACTCTAAGGAAATACAAAGATGCCAGTCTGTGTTGCAATGCCCAGAGTTAGGGGCATCATGAAAAGGTGGGCGGTTTCTCCGTTTGCCTGTTTTGCTGATGTTCATTTGACTCATTCTCAGCAAAATAAGCAAATGGAAAATTCATCCATCGACAAGCTACTTTTTATAATCCTGAAGGTGTGAGCTTCTTCCAGAATCCTGGAATAATGTGTGTGTGTGTGTGTGTGTGTGTGTGTGTGTGTGTGAGAGAGAGAGAGAGAGAGAGAGAGAGAGAGAGAGAGAGATAGATAGAGAGAATGAGAGAGAGGTGGGGGGGGAGAGAGAGAGAACAAAAAGAAGCTTGGAAAGCTTCAGAAGGTAAAGTGGAGGCTTTATTTTTTATGTGAATTTACATAGCCCCCTTTCAACTTTAATCCTCCATTTATTAACCTGTAAAATGGAGATACTAATGCCTGCCTCCACAGGGTTATTCTGAGAAGTGGAAGTGATTTTGTTGATGAAAGCCCAAAGAGAGGAGAGGAGACACCCACCAGGAGAGGAGAGAGGGGGTATGCAGAAGGAGGGTTCGGGGGAGGGAGGCTGGATAGTACTGGCATAGCTCCACTGGAGCAGGATCTTATTATTCAGGAGGCTGGTCCAACACCTCTGGCAACTTTGGAGAGGACTTTCCGCTGACTCAACACAATTAGGGATCCCCACAATAAATAGCATCTAACTCCAGTGCGGTGGGAGGCAGGCAGAGGTGACAGCTGTCTTCTCCTAGGTGAGGTTATTCACCCCCATCCTCTCACTACATCCCTACACCCCACCTCCTAGTTCTCAAGCCTTGGCTTGAGACAAAGGCAGTCAGTTGGGGACTCGCCCCCGCCCCCGGTCCCCCCCCCCCCCACTCCCGCCCACGCTTCTTCCGTGACCAAACACCCCGAGAGCTGTTAGGCAGAGAGGCAGAGCCTGCGGGCTGGGATTAAACAACCTGACTGAAGGCAAGGTCCAAGGCGGAGGGGATTGGGCCATAGTGCTGTGGAGGAGGGGAGACGGAGAGGGTGCTGAGGCTCTCCCTCGCTCCATCCCTGCCAAACCAGCCAGCCCCAGACAACCTGCGCCAGCCACCAGGGCCTCGGAGAAGCAGGCACCATGCAGTGGATAAGGGGCGGATCAGGAATGGTGAGTGCATATAACTCTGGCTTCCCCGGCTTGAGCTTCAGTCTCCTAGCCCCACCCCCAGCTCCTCCACCAGCCGCCTTGCAGTAAGCCCCCTAGCTTCTGCCCACTGCCCTCCCCTCTCCGCTGTCCTTGAGATACCAGAGAGCTTGCTGTGGCCATTTTAGGAGCCCTTGCTCGCCTAAGGAAGAAAGCCCCTTCCCATTCTCCTCCGCAATCCCACTGTCTCCCCCCCCCCACCCCGACCATAGAGATCGGGGTGGGATGATAGTGGGGGTAACTTGGAAGGCTAAAGAAGCAAGGGATCTGGCAGAGGGGCTCTCTGTGAGCTGCGAGGCTTGCAGGCTGCAGGCCAGCTGGCAGGGGGTTGGGAGGAAGGGAGCAGTCACAAAGCCTGGGATTGTGGAAGAGGTAGTATGGGAGAGTTGCATAGCCCCCCAAATAAACCCTTATCCTCTTACTCTGGCCAGTTCCAGGGCATGAGGGCAAAAAAGTCACTCTCAGGGAAGCTGTCTAGGGGATCTCAGGAGCCCCCCCCCCCTTTTTTTTTTTTGCCTGGGCTAGGGTCACCCTGTCAATACTTGGGGCTTTGTCCAGGAAAGACAGCTGCAGAGATCCCTATCCTGGAAATGGGTCTGGACTCCATTCAGTTAAGAGAACCCCTCCCCCCACCCAAGAAGTGTGGGTTTGTGTGTGTGTGTTCAATATTATCTTCCAACAGTAGATTTTATGTCATAATGCTCCCTTCTCCACCTGGAGACCTTGGAATGACTTCCCTTCCAGAGAGGAAGTGGTGGATGCATCTTGATGCCTCTCTGACTCAGTTAAGGGTAGCTCAAGTCTTGTTAGAGATTCTGGGGATAGGAGGCCCTCATGCCTTTGCCCTCAGCTGAGAGGCATGAGCAAGAGGGTATTGGAGGGCAGTTGGGTTGGGTCAGCGGACAATGATGGCCATGCCAGCCCACACTTTTGTACTGCCACCCACAAACCAAAACTGAAGGAAAGTAGCCAGAAGCAGTTGGGCAAAAATTGATGTTTAACTCCTTTTCTTTTTATCCCATTCTGGAAAGGAGGAGGGAATCTGGAGTTGGCTAGGACTGTATTATGAGGAGCTATATTCTTCCTTATACATCTGTTTTAGTGGTTCCTAAAGGCATACAGTTTATATTCCTTAAACCAGGACTTCAAGAAACTCTTTTTCTCAGATATCCCTCTTTCCTTGGTGTCCCAACAGGGCTATTTCAAATGTTTGTAGACCCAGAAAATATCAGAGCATGAGAAGGCCTTCAAGTCCTTGTCATCTGTACAGGAAATCTGAGACCCAGAGAGTGAGAGAGACTCACCCAGGGTCACACAGCTCCATGACGGCAAAGCTTAGTCTCCTGACTTGTAACTGTTCTTCCACAGTATCATAAGTTCAAATGGTGCTGAGAGTCAGAAAAGAACAAAGTCATGATCTTGTGAAAGGACTTCCTTAAGGATGAACTAATGCCACAAAGATTGCTTTAAAAAATAAAATATGCCAGTCCTGATATTTCTGTTATCTGAGTCTGGGTCTTTCTCCTTTCTGACCATCCATCTGATTCTCAGACGTTTGAGTGTGTGGCTAGAATGAACACAGTGGGTGGATTCATTAAAGGACATTTCATATCTAAGTCAATAATCAAATTATCTGCTTCAGGCATTTGGCCTGTGGTGGGGCTAATTGAGGGTTGGGTCTATGTGAATTATCAATGAACCAGTTCCTTGCTTTCTAGGATTCTGGAGAAAAAGATTAAATTTATTATTAGTACTAGATATGGTATATTTAACATTTGTAAAATCTGAAATGTATCGTTTTCAGAACTCTCTCTTCTATATTAAAAAATTCAGTAATAACCAGCACTAATACTTATTTTCTTGATTTTTAAAAAATTTTCAAATAACTAACAATGAAAAAGGAGACTAAACTTCGATTTAAAAAGCAAATTCAGTAACATAATATTATCTAAAATGTGCACTTACTGAACAAAATTAGTATGCCTTGCAGTTTGTATTGTTTTTGCTGTTTTAGATTTAAGCACAAATAAAAATTCCAATTCGTCACACAAATGAGAGAATTGAATAACATACATTCTGTTACTTTAACTTAACTATCACTGTGGCTACCATTGTTTACTTTGAAGCTACTATTTAAATGTTGTAATATAGCACCAGAGGGATTGCAGACAAGAAATGGACCCAAAGTCTCTGGACAGATACCTCAGTTGCTTACAGCATCCTCTAGAAATACCAATGTTTGGGGTAGTCAGGTCACATACAAGAATCAACCAATGAATGCATAAGTAACTGGAACAACAAATCAATCTCTCTCTCTCTCTCTCTCTCTCTCTCTCTCTCTCTCTCTCTCTCTCTCTTTCTCTCCTCCCTCTCCCTCTGTCAAATCAATAAAAAAAGGAAATGCACCCAAATCTGCCATGATTGATTTTAAACATTTAAAAAGTGGAAACACATGTGAAGTCTGTATGTATTGGGAGGAGGGGGCAACTATATAACTGAAAGTTCTCTGAATTAGACTTCCATGTATAATACAATATTATTAAAGGATAAGTAATAAAAGGTGCTAATTTGAAACTTTATATAGATTATTAAAACTCAGTAGTAACAATTGTTTAGAACTTTGACCAACAAAATATTTTTTCAGGGAGGAGTATTTTACTACTGATGTTTAAAATTGCTGGTCCATGGTGATATAAAAAAATACTTTGATTTTACTTTCTTAAAAAATTCTCTAGAGATGGTGTGCTCCTTCTTTGCCTGCACTAAGTGTTGTCCATTCCTATTGCTCCACTTTATATGCCAATGCTTTGGAGAAGAATATGAAATATTTAACTAAATCCCATGCCAAATTTCAAGTGACCTTCATAAAAATCAGTATTCGAGTTGGTAGAAATCTCTGTATAGGCAAGATAGAATGGCCAACTGTTAAGTTTAACAGCTGATTTGATTCTGATATGAATAACAGATATCTACCAAGTATTTTAAAGTATTTTAAAATGCAGTTCAGTCTGGGGAAATGAAGGGTGGGAGCAAAACATGAGCCTTTATCTTTTTGAGGTATCTTTCTTAGAGCAGACCTGAGTGGATCAGGTCTATCTACTTTCTGGAATTTCCATGGCAACAGTATAGTTTCAGTCTTTACTCTTTACATTGCTCATGTTGCTTCTGGACTGCCTCAGTTGTAATGTCCAAACAGGATGACCTTGGTGATAATTTAGCCCAACTCCTTAGATCAGGTAAGTAAACTATGGTCTACTGGTCAAGTTCAGCCCACACATTATATAAAAATGGCCTAGCCAGTGTTGCTCAGTGGCTGAGTGTCAACACTTAAGCTAGGAGGTTAAGGTTGGATTCCTGGTCAGGGCACATGCCTTGATTGCAGGCTCGATCCCCAGCAGGGGGGACTGTTTTTATCTCTTTCTCTCTCCCCTTCCTCTCTCTGAAAATCAATAAAAAACATTTGAAATGTTTTTTACATTTTTAAATGTTGGGAAATTTTAAAAGAAGAATATTTTGTGACAGAAATACATGAAATTATAAGAAAATTTATATGAAATTCAAATTTCATTATCTATAAATAAAGTTTTATTGGAACATAGCCATGCTCATTCTGCCTTCATGATACAAAGGCAGAGTTGGATAGTTGTGACAGAGACCATATGGTCTGCAAAACCTAAAATATTTACTATTTGGCCCTTTACAGAAAAGGTTTGTAGCTCTCTGCCTTAGAGCATTTTGTTTACCATGGCAGTACCTCAAGGAGAAGGCCTGGACAGGGGCAAGCAGGAATTTGGATCTCCTATCTTTCGTTTATCCAGGGCACCTTGATTTTTGCTTTATATGTTGAGCTATTGCTTAAGATTTTAGAAAAGCAGTTTTGCTTACTTATGTCCCACACAAAGATGTTTGAATACCACCCATTTTATACATTGTAAAATACTGAGTCTTAGAGAGAGAGGGTACTTGATCCAAGACCTCACAACTACTCAGTAACTGGGCAAAGAATCCACATATCCCAATTCTCAGTAATGTGTGCCTTCTTCAATTTTCATGAGGTAAATTTAGTAGGGGGAAAGGGAAGGGAAGCATACCTATTATGTGCCAGTTATGTGAAATGTTATCTCAATTAATTCTCACATTATCCTCCAACAAAATAGGTTTAAAGTTAACATTTGTTGGTTTATAAATTCATGCAATAAATATTCACTGAACACCTACTATCTTCAAGTACTATTCTAGACATCAGGGATGCAGTAGAGAATGAAAGATAAATGTCCTTGCCTTCCCAGAGTTCATAGTCTAGTATAGCTTGGAAACAGCAATAGAGTTAAGTATATTGCTCAGGGATAAATAAAGGGTAACATCGTATTTCAAATTCAGATTTATCTGATTACAAAAGCATTACTCTTTTCACAACCCAACCATCCCTCTATCCATTCCCCATTCATTCACCAATCTACTCACCCATATACACATCCATTCATCCATCCATTTATCCAATGTATTTTTTGATTACTTATAAATTACTAGATGCTGGCTATACAGCCTCTTTGGGTGTCAGCAACATAATATAATGTTTATGAGAACAGATCCTGGAACTAGATTTCCTGTTTGCTTTCACTACCTATTGTCTGTGTGGTTTGGAGAGTCCACTTAACCCCTCAAGGTCCTCATCTTTAAAGTTGGGAAGATAGTAGCACATACCCATTTCATAGTGTTGTACAGATTAAATAAGTGAATACCTCTAAAGTACCCTGAACAGTGCCTGACACAGAGTAAAGCTATATAAATTTTTGTTGTTATTATTTTTACATTTCCTCAGAGCCAGAGAGCATCCTAGTTGGCTCAGAACTATCACTTCATTTGTGTACAATCATTGACTAATCATGTTACATTGCTTAGGGGTTTTCTAGATAATCCAAAAGAAAAACTTATGCCAATACTTAATAATAGCTCAATATGTT